GTGGAATTGTTTTTTTAGTCAGGTCAGGGACTAAGTCGATGTTAATAGGACGTAGCTAAGAACATGATTTAAATATTAACTGACCGATAAAAAGTGAGAAAATTACCAACGCTCTGTGATCCACTTTTTGCACAGAATTGCACAAAAATTGACATTGATAGAAAAGTGGTAGCAGAATGCTAAAATGTGGTGCGGAAGTATTTGGCACCAACTTGTTTTCCGGATCAAAAAGCTTGTTCAAAACTTTTGTATGACTAGAATTAAATGTTGCCACAGCAGAGTTTGATACATTTTGACAGCGTTCATATAAGTTTTGTCCGTTTAGTCTAACTGAAATAGACATTTGCTCTTTAGAGTTGCCTTTACGTGATTTCATTTTTTTTTTATTTTGTTAAATTAGGGATAATGTTGCTACAGTTCTGCCGCATACGTAGGAGTTGATATTGCATCGTATTTGTAGATAAAGTTTATATGAAGAAAATATAGACGTGTATGAGGTTTATAATAAAGCTCATACAAGTCTATACGCCTTTATTGCATAGTAGGAGTAGAGGTGTCTATCGTGTATTGGCCGCAGATGCCGCTGTTAATATAGGACTCCTTTTAATTCGTTCTTTTTAAATTTTGATGGCTATTTAGCCGGACAGCTTTAGCTAACCTTCCTAATAAAACAATGAACATAATGATTAATATATTTCTAATAAACCTAATAGTAAATAATTATCATAATAATTAGGAATTATACTTATTTTCTAATACAAGCAATTGGAAGAGAAAAGCATTTTACAGGGTGGTCGGAAAGTCTTGTCAATCTTACATAATGTAATTTTCTATTTCAGATAGCTGACACAAGTTCTTGCAAGAAAAAGTCAGACCTTCTCGATGTATGACAGCGTCAGTGAAAGTGAATAAACTGAATCCAGTACATGTGCTTTGTATTAATTGTTCTTCTATTCTTCTCATTACTTTTTGGTCGAGGGGGACAAGACTTTTGGACCACTTTGTAGAGTAAAAAAACTCGTCTGCTCGACAACTCTAAATGCACATGCGCACTAGATTTTATTTTGTTTTTGTAACAACTGAGATTAGTATTTTTTTTTTTTAATTTCTTTTAATCGAAGTAAAAAATAACTACTTTCAAAAGTAATAAAATTTATTTAAAGTAAATTTGACGTTTTACAAGCAAGAGCAGTCAATTTTTAAAGAAACTCATAATTGGTTACTGAGGAAGGGCTGCGGTAACTGAAACATTAAGTAAATGAATCACTTTAAATGAATCAATATTAAAACTGCTATTTCAAAACTAGAAAAAAAACTCTTGTTAATTATTAAAGTTTAATTGAATAATTGGTTACTAAGGTTACCCAGAACAACAGTAATTAAGAAAATAGAAAGAAACAAATGGGGTTGTACTATTTGACTCGATAGAGGGCGCTTTTAGTAAAGCGGTCTTTCGAAAAACTTAAATGACAGAAATGGCGAAGCGAGTTTGTGATCTGTGAAAAGTTCTTTAGGTAATACTAAATAATTTTTAGATTATCAGGAAAAAAAAGCAAAGTTGATGCTTTAAGTTACCGAAAAAAGATCACAGTATATACATGTATATATATATTTATTCTTCGTTGTGGTAATTTTGAGGAAGAATTTTAAAAAAGTTTGTATTTTTTGTCCGTTATATGCTTGACAGCTTATTTATTTTTTTATGGATGTTTGTTGATCAGTTTGATATGTAATTTAAAAAAAAATATTACAGCTTTTAATCTATTCCTTTAGTTTATTTAATTTCTTTTTTTTTTTTTTTTCGTTACTATTGTTGATTTTTGACCGGGCGACTTTTTTTTATAAGACTTAGTGTCGTGATCGCCTTATTGAATTTGAAGATATTTTTGCGAAATTTTTACTTTGTAATTTTTATACAGGTTTTAAATTGAGAGAAAATGTTGCTTTCTTTTACTTTTTGTTCTGTTTTCTGATTTTAATCGTAAATAGAAATGAGAATTCTCTGTTTTGTTTAAAAAATTACTGGTAATGGACAACTGATGTCATAGCGAGGAAAGGAGGAAGCAAAAAAAACTGTTTCAACGAGTGTTTTTTTTTTTTTTTTAAATAACTAACAGTTTCTTTTTCTTCCAACATTGGATTTAAAGTTTCTTTTGATTTCTTTAGAAAGTCAAAGTGAAACTTTGATAAGAACCATAACCTCATGAATTAAATTAAAAAAAGAAGAAAAAAAGCAACCAAAGTAAAAAGTTAGAAATTGTTTATAACTTAAAAACCTTTTTCTAACTTTTTTTTTTTTTGCGCACTGATTTTTTTCTTATGTTCATCTCGTTTATTATTTGAAATTTTAACAACAAATAATTGCAATAAGTTTTTATTTTTATTTTTTGTTTACTTAACACGACCATAAACAAAAATCATTAACCAATCATTTTCATTGGGTGTTTTTAAAAAAAAGTAACACATAAATTACGGTTTGAAAGATGTACAGTATAGTACAGTCTTTTCTCTTTTTCTTAAAAAAAAAAAAAACATTTAAGTTTTTTAAAACTTATTTCAATTTTCGCTACTTTTAAAAAAAAAATTTTTTTTTTTTTTTTTTTTTTTACATCATTTTGAAAACGTAACCTTTCATTGATTAAATAAATGATTAACATTAACAACGTCTTAAAAACGCCTTTTTGTTGGTTTTTAAATGAAACAAAAAAAAACACAGTAGTTGAATCAGTGTAGGCTAGGCTAATTTTGAAAAGTTTGAAAAAGAAATAGTTTGATAATCTTTAAAAATATAACAAAATAAAATCAGTTTTTGGTAAATTAATAACTGATTTGCAAAAAAAAAACTTGTTGATATGGCACGTTATTTTATTTCTGTAAAAAAAAAAAAAAACCCTCTCATCATCAGAGTTGTTTCCACTTAGAAGGCACACTGCAAATAGCAAACTAGTGTGATTTCTCATCTTCAGCAAGACTGCTCGTTTCCAAACATTATCCATCTGTTCAGACCAACCTGTGTTTTAATACTATGCTGAGTGGAACTTAGTTGCTGTTTAAGTACACATACAGTTTTGAATTCAGAATTTTCCTTCTCCTACTGGTTGTCGTCCATGGTTGGAGAGTCCAGTCTGACTTGCTCTTCTCTCGTTATAACTGAGGGGGGAATAGATGGATTCATATCTTTCTCAAGAGTATTTATGCAAAAGTGAATATAACCATCACTACCTGAATTTGAATTTGGCTTCATGATTTATCGTCCCAAGTGTTTAACCAGAATTACACAACAAACAATTATGTATTGCTAATAAAAGCTAAATAGTTTCCCTAGATTATCCTGACACACACACACAGAGTCTTTTGCATAAGCTGACAAATGGTATAGTTTGCTCTCAAATATCTTTGGACAATACTTAGCATAGATGTGAGACATTTGTCTCGCATCTATACTAAGTATTGTCCAAAGATGTATATCTAACCACTAAATGTCTTTAGAAAACAAAAATATACTTCTAATCCCTAATGTCTTTAGAAAATGTTCCTCTAGTCTGTTTTTGAGATAAATATACTGGCTGGGTACATCAAAGTTAAAAATTTGTCTTTTATATGCCATGTCTTTTCAGGATGTAAGAATTTATGGTTATTGGTATCTTCCTGTCTTTTGTTTGTCTCAGTAATTTTTGCATTTACCATTCCTCTTTCTCCTTGTTCTGCCATCCAGTCACACACTCATCAGGTAGATTGCTCACTGTTTCTACCTGCTTCTTTTGTCTTAGATATGTCCTGTGAGTGTTAAATTTGCTTGGCCCTCTTTCCTAATGATAAATTTAAGATGTTTCTTTCTGATAGTATCAGTTTCCTTGTATTTTGTGAAGACTACCCCAGCTTGGTTTGCCAAGATGCCCATGAGGTGGTGGTGTGCTTTATAAAATGGATGAACCTATCACACCCTCTTTCTTTCTTTGGCTCCAATGTGTAGCAATGTCAACACACAAGTTTTCGTCTCCACTAAGGAGGATTTCTTTCGTCTGAGCTATTGAACTTTTACACACGTGTGTCACACACACACACACTTCCTAATGGCTAAGTTTTTAATATTTTTCCTTTTCTTTTCAGCTGTGTATACACTGGTATATTATCTCTTTCATCATTTATTATATATATATATATATATATATTTATATAATCTGTTTTGAAATTTATTCCTTTTACTTCTACAAATGATGACACCTTGCCATTTACATGTAAAATTTTTTACTGCCACCCTGTTTAGTTAAGCCAAAAACAGTATCCATAACAACTTTCAGTTTTTCTTAAAACTTCCAAGTTACTTGCATGTTTTGACCATGGTATTTCCAGAATTTTAACTCCAGATGCTCTGAGAATATTTGCTACTATATGATATTGCAGTACTTTTTTTTTTTTTTGATTCCAATGAAATTTTCCTATCTCTTATTACTTTGCTTAGTTTCTGTGCCATGACTTTCTGTTGTCCATTACTACACTACCTAAATTATTAAATTTCTGTACCTCCTCAATTTTGATGTCCCCATTTGTTTTCTTTTTCTTATATTTAAGGAAGATGCTCAATTTGAAGGTAAAAGCTTCTCTTCTTCCAATTTTTGGAATTTTCTTTGTCATCTCTAGTTTGAACCTCAATTATAATTACTAATTTTGTGTGTGTCTTAATTCAGGAGTTATAATATGATATCAATAATCTTAATTTTCAAAATTTCAGGAGCAATTCTGCAGTAGCTGTGATAATTTTTAACTTAATCAATCGCAGAAGCTTTTCATGATCAACCATGTCGGCACCAGCTTCTGTGTTCTCCAGCCCCTATGGCCAACACCCAACAATTGAGGATGCCATCAAACAAACTCCAAGAAGTAAAGCAAGCCCATTTACTACTAAGTATTATACACCATCTCCTCTTCAACGAAATAACAATTTGATAAAGTCCTTATCTTCAGCTCTGTCTTCCACACCTCGTAGCTTAAAGAAACCCATGATCCTCCACACTCCACAAAGTGTTACAAGCCAGCTTGCCTGGCATCATCATTCCACTCCACAGTCACAAGTAAAAAACCCATTTGAAATTGCTCTTGTCAATCAACTTCAGAATTCTTTGGTCAGTCCTGGAATTTTTACCATATCAACCCCAAGCTCAGATGAAAAGGTAAGAGATGACTTGTATATTTTTGAAAATCATTGTAAAACATCAAAAACATTTGCATTGACTGCTTGACATATTAAACAAAAGTAATGTGGCCTCCACTCAGAATGTAAGAGTGCTTGAGAAGAAATATTTTTTTTTTTTATTCTACATTTTACTTCATACTTATTTGTCTGAAATTATGGTCTTGAAGAGAGAAATTTCAGAAATAAAATATTTATAGATTATGAAAATTTTCTGTCTGAATTTTTGGGATAAGGAGCTATTATTTGGATGATTGTCCTCATCTTTGTTTCAAACAAAGATGAGGACAATAATCTGCATGTAAATAAAGATTATGAAAATGTTTATAAATATTTTCAAAGATTCACAGAATTAATCACACTTTTTTTTTTTTTTTTTTTTTTTTCATAAGTAATATGGGTAGACAGCTTATCCTTTGTTGGCAGTCTGTTAAAGAGAAAGTTAACTCTAATTTTAAAATCTGAGATCGGACTCTTTGATCACATCCCTTCATTTCTGGTCAAAAGTTTCATTCTTCTGGGCAGACGAGCTGTGGCTTGGTAACCAGTAATGGTTGGAAGAGGATTCAAGACCTGTCAAGGTTATTTTCTTTGTGTATTTGAGTGTATGAATGTTAGTTCTGGGTATGATGCTAAACTATACTTGGAAGATTGATTTTGAGGAGTGTGGAACCACCTCTTAATTGCTGTTGTTCCCATGTTCACCCTGACCTGTGGTGGTAGCACCTGTTAGGGTCCCAGCTATGGGCAAATAGTGAAACCCCAAACAAAAAAAAAAACTATGAAAATATAAAAAATACAAGTAATTTAGAATTAAAAAAAAAAAAAAATTACCAACAATACGCACATACTAACATTGTAGCGACTTCATCCAAATCTGTTATAAAATACTACTAAACAAGCAACATAAAAAACTTTTGACATTAAGCCATATGATATCCTATGATTTCTTAAATCAAATTGCATTCCAAAATATAACTTTAACAAAACCACAATATAAAGCACACATCCACACAAACATGTATATGCACTAATCCTGAATATCATTTACCATGTATTCAGTTGTGAAAGCAGAATAATGTATATGTTTATTACTTCAAAGCTTCCAAGAAAATTAAATTCCAGCATTAAATAATCCATAAATCTTACTTATTATAAAACGCAGATTGTGTGTGTGTACGTTTATATATTAGATCGGATTTCCTACATTTTTCAACCAATTTCAACAAAACTTCACAGGACTACGTAAAATTACCTTGCGGTGGTTCTGACAGCACTAAAAATTGGAAAAACACTATTGTTTTTGCACGAAATCAATTTGAAAACACGATAAAACATGATTCTGTCGCCAGAATGAAAGGGGGACAACTCATATTGAGTTATACTCATAAAACCCAGGTTGTTTGTGTGTGTGTGTGTGTGTGTGTGTGTGTGTTCGTTTATATATGGGATCAGATTTCCTACATTTTTCAACCGATTTCAACAAAACTTCACTTTTTTGGGGGGGGCAGGTAGTGTTTCTTATTGTCTTGCACACTTTTTTCTTTATTTTTACATTCAGAATGCTTTAAAAATTCCATTTACAAGACAATTGTTTATAATAAAATTCTATTCAATCGATAGACTCATAACGATTGAAAACAATGTTTTTGTTTGAGTTTGGGCTTGACCAATTCATAAAAAAAAAGAAAAAAACTAATTAAGACATGCGTGTCCGTCAACCTTAAGCAATAATCTTTGTCATTTTTATTTTTCAGTCTTTATGATGGTCGATACTTGATCTATCTCTTACTGTTACATCCCCGGGCAATGCCGGGCTCTACTGCTAGTAGTTGATATGACAAATCAATCTGTATAAATGTATAATGCTGTCAAAATGGTAGGTTAGGTTACTTTTTGTTGTTATGGCTGAACCTTAGATTCTTTATTATATAAATATTCACAAAACAAAGATGATCAGAGCTTTTCAGCTAATCTCTTTTTTGACCTCACTCTAATAACTCAATGGAGAAATACTTGCCTTGTTATTTCCAATACCTCAAAAACCAATCTCATATCGTTTCATCACCACTGTTTAGTTTTCACCAGTTATGATGAGCAGTTCCATTCTTGATGAAACTTCATGTATGCTTTGAACATCTACTGGGTCTCAAATTTACCCCAGACTTCAAGTAGAACTCGTATATACAATTCCTTACAAAAATAACTAGAAAAACTGTTGGATTAGATGAAGCTGACACCTCTGCAATGTTGTGTCTTTACAAGAGTTAGATCAGGTCAAAGATGGACTACTGCTGTCGTATTTGTGCTGAAGCTACTCAATCTTAACTTTCTAGCCTTGATAGATTTCAAAATCATTTATGTAGTCTTGTAAAGATCAGTTATTTTTCCACTCCACAGTCTTTCTCACAGAAGCAATGTTGCAAGACTATTGCTATTCTATTGCTAATGTTCAGGTGATCTCCATCCTTTAGTTCCACCAGTTCAGACTTTTAGGTACTCCATGCTACGTCCACACAATTGAATCATCATCATTCCATCTGTATTTCAAATGTGAGAAGGAAGTTCCATTCAGACAACTTTTTCTTCAAGAACTGATACTTTGTGGAACAAGTTTCCACAGGTGTGCTTCTCTGAACACTGCAATCTTCAAGTCAAGAGAATAGGGATTATTGTTTTAATCTTCTTATCCCCACTTAATACCAACTTCTCTTCCTTTCATATTGCACTCAGACAACTCAGTCATCAATAGCATTTTGTTTCTAACTTGTATGGGGTAATATGTGTGTGTGTGTGTATATAATATATATAATGATGGCTGTGATTTGATTTCAAGCAATGTCATTGCTTGGTCCTTCCTCAAATATTGGAAGAGCGGATGTGGCTTTATAGTCCCGCTAGAGCATTACATTCTCTTGCACAGATGTGGCAATGTTGGGCATCATTTGCAATAGTTGTTACATAAATGCCACATAGTTTGTAATGAATGACTTCTCTATGCATGTGGTGTCTTTGATCATTTATGAGGACTACTTAGACTGATGCAACCACATTCATTACACATTAGATTAAATTCTGTGGCAACATTTTCAGGGAAATTAACCCTTTTCATTGAGCTACCAAAGGCTTTGAATAGAAATGCTTCATAAGAATCTTGGCTGTCCTGATAAACTTGTTTCTGTTCTGAATGGTTTTCAGGATGGAATGAATGCATGTATCTGTAGAAATCTCTCTCATCTAGTTCGTGTTGAAAATGGTGTCAAGCAAAGGGATATAACTGTGCCAACTCTGTTTGTGCTATACTTTATGATGTTTTTCTTGATGGCCTTTAAAAGATACTCACAAAATATATACAGTGTGACTGAAAAGTAACTCTCTATTTTATGTATGATGGACTCTCCCGTCTAACTATAATTTTTACAAGACTGGAGAGTCCATCATACATAAAATAGAGAGTTACTTTTCAGTCACCCTGTATATTAAATATTGAACAATGAGCTATATATATATATATATATATAATATATATACTCTCCCGTATATATATATATATATATATATATAATTCCACTCTCCCGAGGTCAGGTCGATAAGTCTCCAGGAAACCGACATCCCGACACCGCACATGAGATTTGATTATAGTGGTGAAGGCCTCGTGCAGGACCAGCCACACTTTTTGGAGGGATTTAATACAGAAACCTGGTGCACCAATGCCACAAGGTTCCCAAACGACCCTCCGCAGGTTTTGAATTCAGAGTTGTCCTTCTCCTAGACCAGTTGCCATCCAAGGCTATAGAACCCAGTCTGTCCTGCTATTTTACCCATAGCTGGAGGGAGATGAAGAGGATTCATACCTTTCCCAAGGGTATTAGCACGTAAGTGAATGTAATGGATTTGACTGAATTAACTCGGCTCTCATGTATTCCTCAATCCAAGCCGCTATCCATTACTCCACCGTGCCTCCATATATATATATATATAAATAAATAAAATGGAGGTGCACTCAGAGTATAAATACTTAGCTTAAAGTTAAATGTCTCTTTAGGTTTTTTTTTTTTTTTTTTTTTTTTTTACTGTACCTTTCATCACCTGAGTATCCACAGAGGCATACTCTACTAATATATGATATCTGTACTATCATTTGATTCGCTCAGCCTGTTTTCTATTTACTCCATAACCATACATTTTAATACATTTTATGTGACCTGAAACTTTGGCACCATATTACTAGGGCATGTATTTAAAGAGCTTTGCTGTTAACATTTTTGTATTGTTCCCAAATGTTGACTATTATTAATTTGCACAAAAAACCTACAATGTCAGTCTCCAGTGCCATTTGTTGGGATCCCCTGATCCCTTGTGAGTCACAAGTTTAAAATGTAGTATTTTAATATGAAATTCTGGATGTTATTCATTACATATTAGTATGATGTAGAATAGTATCTGAACAAAAATGGAGATAATGTGAGAAAATGGAAAAACTTTTACAGACTTTTGCTTACTGTTCAGAATGAGACAAAAACATGTTTTATTGAATGCTATGGCCATTGAAGCCATTAATGTCTTGGATTTGAAATTAACCACATTTACAGCCACACCACATTGGAACATTCATTTCTGTATGATCACTGAAGTTAACTAACGTTGAACCTGGTCATTACTTAGATGGGTGACTGCTTGGGAATACCAGATGCTGTAAGCTTGGATGTGCGGGTGGTGTAATAGATAATGGCTTGGAATTGTTAATCTGAGAGACAAGTTTCAATTCCCATTCCATTTGTTTTATTCATTTGTGTGCAAATACCCATGGGAAAGGCATGAATCTACCTCTTCTCACCCCAGCTATGGGTTAATTAGTAAAACTTCTATCACTAAATCATTATCTCCCCCCCCAATTCTTACAATCTAAAAAAAATATTTTCTGGCTTTTAAAGAACCTGCAAAGGGTTTATAAACTGTAGAAAACGAATCAATCAAAAATATCTGCTTTGTTTAAGTAAGGAATCCTATCCTGTATAATTTCTATCAGTAGAAACTATTAACTTTATAATGATTTGTGAACAGAACTGTAAAAAAAACAACAGTTTTTCCTACTTTTATACGTATATTTTACTTTAGGCTAATTTCCTAAAAGACCACTTGCTGTAGTCTACTTTATTTGAATTCTGATAGCATATTTGACTATAATCATGTAAAAAAAAACATCTATTATTGATTAGTAATACAGGAAACATCGACATTACTAGAAGGCATTTTTCCTTTCTAAACTCAAAGTATAAACTGAAAGGGGCATGTTGAATGTATACGCCACTTAAAATGTCACTGGCATAAGAAAGTTACATGTTTCTGAAATGGTTTTGTGATTGGCAGCACATAAATTTGTTACATCAGCAATGTTCTAAAAGGGGGCCTACACACTCAACATGAACCAACTGAAATTTATTGGATGTCGTAACTAACAGCAAACAGTTTTTCCAGATTTTTTTTATATCATTTGTTAAGTTTGTTAAATGAATTTCCATCATTAATACTGTTTATGAATAAATATATAGATGCACATGAGGTGGTGTTGAAAAGATTTGGAACTGACTTAGGAGAGATTAAAAAATGGAATATTTGAACTTTTGGTCAGATTTTTAGAAGGGGGTCAGATTGAGAAGTTTTCAGTGTCCATTCATATACACAGTGGGCTTGCTATCAGACATTTGTCAATTTTGGAACATTTCCCAAGTGATGTGTTCTATATCTAGTCTGAAGTTAGACAGTCTTAGAATTTCAGAACAGCTCTAACTTTGAACTCCAAGTATTTGTCAAGTTATAGCTGTTTGAAGTTAACCAAAACTCACACGTTTAATGATCTGTTTTTAAATAATCAGTTCTGAAGAGTTGATTTTTCTACCTCCTTTTTGGTAGGAAAATCATTGGAATTTTGTTTAAATGAATGTTATTAGTGATAGACAGGTTGAACTTGGGATTCTTTTTAAAATATGACCTATATAAAGTGGATTTGGGGGCCCTCCAACATAAAATTCAATCAAAATTTAGACAATTTTTGGCCATATCTTACTTGTTTTTGTTTCTGACACTCAACTCCAAATAATGCCAACAAAAATGGCAGACATTTTTTTTTTCTCCTTTTTAGTGTAAGTTCCCAAATATTAAAACAAATTAAATCTTCAAAACGTTAGAAAATTTGTTTTTAGGGAGATATTTAAAATGTACTCATTTCTTTTCATATATTAATTTGATCATTAATCATGTTTGGTACCAAATATCATAAATTAGTTGTATTTATCAGAAAATCAGGATCTAGATTTATTTTTTTATTTTTTTATTCTTTCTTATGCAGAATTCATTTGGGGTACTAACCCCCCTCCCTCAAGAATCTAAATGGGTTAAATGCTAAATTCTAATTCAAGTTCTTTCCAGAAATTTTGGCCCTTCACTGCAGACCAGGCTTTTAGACCTTCACTCCTATTTTCTAGTGAGAAATGTAAAAGTTTTGTTTTAATCTTCCTCTCAAGTACAAATAAACATGCATACAGTTCCATAATTGAGCTGGAAATCATTCAGGGACACAAAACCCATAAATGTTCGCTTGGCTCTATTATATAAGCCAATTGTGACATTTATTTATGCAATATTAAACAACTGACATTATAAATATAATTGGAGCAGTTGTGTCAAGCCTGTGTAATTTATACATGAAATGTTCTTTACATGAAGTTTGTATTTTATTTTAATCTCTATACAGAATAATTCTGAGGCTGGCTGAATCAGTAGTTTTTTTTTTTTTATTGCTGTTATTTATTTTGGTATAGTGTGTGTTACTGTGTATTTTTCTTTTAATAAGTTTGTTTTATTAAAGTGCATGCTTGTAGAATTTTAGGATCAATTTGTCTTTAAATTTTTTGTTTTTTTATTTTAGAAGTTTCACTGGACAATTGATCAGTTAGCCATCTTGCATCCAGTAGAATTTGAAGATAAACTATCCCAATATGCATCTGTGATCAGGTAAGTACTTCTATGAAAAAAAAAAAAATTGTTTTTTTTATTCAGTTGTATTAGATGGCTTGGTAAATGGTTAAATGTGCTCAGAATCCTGTATTTCCTGTGGTGAAACTACATAAATTACCATTCCGTATTAACAGAAGATCTTGAAGACCTATGGAGGAAAAAAAATTCTCTTGTCATTGATCTCAAGTGTGTTGAGATGGTGTTTTTATTTCCTTTTCAACAACTTTACATTTGTCTTAAATCATGTATGAACACTGTTACAATAAAATCTAAGGAAATTGGAGAGTGTGTGTATATATCACAGCTGTTTGAGGGCTCCTATAGCCCCTCTAAACTTAAATAATGTTAATTCAGGTTAGCTATAGTAAAAATTTTCTATCCCAAGTAAAAATCATCACAAAAATGACAAAAGTCAATTTGTCACAGCTTATTTTCTTTGAAAAAATGGAATTTCATTCTTTTTGAGAGGTAAAATATTGAAAAATGACTGTTTTATCATCATCTGTACAAATATCAAGGAAACTTTTGATTTGAACCCCATGAAACTAGGTATTTTCTGAAAGCAAACAATGCTCTTTCATTTAAAACTAAATTTTTTTCAGGGGAGAAAATGTGAAAAAAATAGTGAAAATTTTGCATTTTTTTTCTAGTTCTAAACAAGTTTTCTCCAATAATGGGAAATTAACTATTTTTGAAAAATCAGAAAGCCTAAATCATAATCAAACTATTTCAGGCAAAAAATTGAGAGTTTGAAGGAAAACAACATTCCTAAGGAGTGTGACGGTTACACACCCTGGCCCAGGGTCGAATCCTTTGGTTACGGGCGCCAACTGTGACGTCGCTCCTCCTGGTCGCCTCCTCCTGGTTCCAGCGTGCGCCCAACCCCTTGGTTGGATGATCACCAGCCTCGCCTTTCCCGACTACTTCCAATACCTGGTCACTAAAAGCAACTGTACTGATCTCCGGTCTGTCTACCCACGCTGTGTTTAGATCTTAGACAGGACGGGACCAGCAGGGATTGGGGCCGATACAAGTTGAGTCCGACGGGGTGGCAAAACACAAATAAAAGAGAAAAAAAAACTCACGAGACAAAAGATTGCTGATAAAAAAAAAGGGTAACAACCTTTTATATCCAATGTCCGTTACATAAAAACAAAATTGTTCTCATTTCCCGACCCGCTCTGTGGACTATGGCACCAAGCTTCTATCACACAACCTAAAGATTTCGAATTGCCTACTCTTTAGAATTGTGTATGTCGGAGTGGTTTAGTTCGACACTGGGGCTAATTTCTATCGATCATTATGCAGTTGATTCTTCTCTTGACTTGAGTTGTATTTCTTCTTCTTCAGACTTAGATAGAACTTCTCTTGTCTTCGACTTGGGCTGGATCTTCTCTGCGGCTTTCGAGTAATCTTCTTCTTTGTCCACTTGGGCTGGAAGTTCTCTTGTCTTCGACTTGGGTGGAAGGAGTTCTTGTTTCGACTTGGGTGGAAGGATTTCTTGCCGCAACTCAGCCGCTACTCTCTGTCGTCGGGGCTGAACTCTTCTCGCTGCCGTCGGGGCTGAACTCTTCTCGCTGCCGTCCGGGGCTGAACTCATGTCTTCGACTTGGGCTGGAAGGATTTCTTGTCTGAGGATTCTTTTTGCCCGCAGAGGGGCGAGTGAATCGGGCCTGATGCCCGCTTCAGGCTCTTTCCTGCCCGCGATCCAGCTGCAACTCATTTCTGTCGACTGGGGTCCCTGCTTTTATTGACGCCGCAACAAACCGGGGTGGGTTTGTCGGCGTCAGGGTTTCTCGACAATTCAATAGCGCATTATTTCTGTCTTCCCCATTATCGCTATTGTTTTCACCCCCTACTTCCCTCACAGTGCCTTTGGTGGGGGCGACACCCATCTTTCCCGGTCCTCGTGTGTCAGGTGACCGCTCTCGACCAATGATTCCTGATCGAGCATTTCTCCTCCTCTCTCCCGTATGCCACATGACCGTTTCCGACCCATTGTTATTGATCGAGCATCCTTTCTCCTCTTTTTTTGGGCGTGGTTTACATCGTTTTGTTTTAAAAAACAAAATCCAATTTTGCCCTTTTCGCACGCATTTGAAAAAATGACAATCTTGGCTTTTTTCTCACCTGGGCTCTGTCAAAACAGCCTGCCGCTAATTAGATGTGACTTCAGGAAAGAATATTGGCGCCATCTGTGAGCTGAGACAATCGTTTTTTTTCCTCTTGTTTTTGTCAGACCCGACAGTCAGAAAATCTTAATTATCTACATTGAAAATGTCCCCACTTTATTATCGTGGGTTTCCAATTCTTAATAGGTCAGAATCTGTATACAGTTCCACCGGTCACTCCCTCAACCCAAAAGACACTTTTTCTCCGATTAAAAAAAATTTTGTTTCTATTGTTCTAAAAAGAAATTCCCCTTTCTCCAATTTGACAATGAGTCTTTCCACGCAAAAAGTAGGCTAGGTGCTTTGACCGATATTCTTATCAATCGCCAATACACTGTCATCAAGCCTGGTTCTTTTTCTCCCTCTAAATGATTTTTCATTTCAAATAACAATTCTCTATTGTCTTTTAAAATTCGCCAACACGCAGGCCAAGATATCTTTCTGACACCTATCTTCGCTTATGACCGGGTCATGCATCATCCATCTCTTTTCCTTTTTTTTTTTTCTTTCTTCCTCTTTTCTTTCCCCTTCCTTCTTCTTTCCTTAGGATCGTCTAAGTACAACTTTAGTGAATTATTTTCAACTCAATTATTTTCCGTTTAAAAAAAAAAATCAACAACCTGTTTAATAAACCGAGTAAAAAAAATTAAATCATATTTCTATGAATATTTCTAATAATGCAAGGTGCCATAATCCTCCCCTAACCGATTTGTCATTTACCCGTAAATGACACTTAAACCCAATTACATCATTTAACATGCACCATGCATTTGTCTCATGCAATTCTATTCTACTTTCTAACATGCAAGGGTAATGTTCTTTCCATTTTCTTTTGTTCTACATGCAATGAAATGTTCTTTTCATTTTCTTCTGTTCTACATGCAAGGTAATGTGTGCGTGTGTCTGTAGGTGCAGATGTGTTCACTAGGGTTTGTTCTTCTTGGTCAATGTTTTCCTCTCTGCCGTGGGAGGTTTTTCCGCCGCACGTGGTGGTCTCACGCCAACCTCCTCCATTGGTCTCTCAGCAATTTCTTCGCCAGTCCTGTCTGAGTAAGGAACACCGCTCGAGTTGTTGCATGCTCACTAGACTGTCGTTCGTTAATCTTCTCTTGCTCCTAATCTTCCATATTAATACACCCCCGATGGCTATAACTAGGAATGTACCCATTACTATTGACCAACTTATCGCGATCTGCTCATCGTCTTCCCAAGCTACACCTTCGTCTCCCAACGCACTTAACTTATCTCTTAAGTGATCCATATCGATCTTTTCTATTGGCTTCATTAATACTGGCATCTTATTTAAGGTAACATTAGAGAATCTCTTCACTATCGGCTCCCATAATTCTGTACAATTGACTAAGCCTCTACCAATCATCTCTATGAGTGAATCTTTTCTTCATACCTTTCTTCCATCTGGTAATAGGGGGGCAAGGAGATGGACACCCCAACCGCCAACATCCCATGGGTAGCGTCACCAGGGATAACGGTGGTCTTATTCTTAATGTCCTTGTGGACTCTCCCCACATACCCTAGACAGGCTGATATGTTTCTGTGTGGCTACTGCCCACACCCCGCCTGAAACACTGATAGCTTGTGGTAATGCCGAGTTTGTTAATACCTCTACTTGGCAGATTCTTTTGATTCCTTCCCCTCCCTTCAAACCATTCTAGTATGCACAGTCTGCGGTTACCAGTTTTATAGATAGGGCTCAACGAGGTACAAGTCCCCAGGGTATCATCTCTACACCTTCTAGCTTCTTCAGCTGATAGCAACATGAATTTCGTTCTCCCAATTTAATGCTATGTAGTCTGCTTCCACCTTGTACCTTGCTATCATTCCCAAACCTTGATCTCTTCTGGGGTAGGGAATGGGTAAGTTTATAACCTGGTATATCTCAAGATACTCTCGCTATCTAGTAACGGGACAGATATCACTACCAATAATCGCCTATTTTCTAACAAGGTCACACATCCAAGGGCATTATAGTACTTCCACAATTCTTTAGTGGGGTCCACTGGTAGTCTTAAATGGCGGGGCAATTAACTGTATGCCAAGTAGTGCTTCCTTTAGGTGACCCGGGTTTACTATACTTGGGGAGAGGTGTCCTAATGACAGCATGTCTAATTGTGCTCTCACGTGTTCCAGCAAGGTCGTCAACGACTGACTAGTTTGTCGTACTTTAATTCGTAATCGTCATTAGCTGGAAATATTTTTGCATGAATCCGCTTATTTCCTGTAATTCAACCATTACAGTTTCTGTATTATTAATTACCTCTTGTCTCAATTTCGCCAGGTTGTCTATTAACCAATTGATTCTGGCTCTATTTTTGGATACTTCTAACCTTGTCACATTTAATATCGTCACACTCTCTCTTGCCACCTGGGCAAGCGTCCTCTGGTTTACTTCCACTTGTCCCAGTTTCCTTCTTATGAATTTAACGTCATCTTCAGTTACTGTTCCAAACAAGACACTCAATGCCTTTCCCACAATCGAAGTACGGATCTCCGTTCCCGTCTGCAGTAACTCTATTCCCTGCAGGTAGTTTTGCATGTCTTTCCATTGAGCCTCTATCATAGTGGCTTCTGATTCTAGGGAGTGCAATAAACTAAGATACCCTTTGTGCTTGGGATAATCTTGTCCTACTTTCAATCGGGCTGCATCCAGCTCGTCAGCTCGTTTCCCTAACTTATCTAATAGCGACTCATATGGGTTCAAATCTATCACGAATGCGACCAACCACTTAGACCTGGTTATTATTACTTGGCTTGTTTTTTTAAAAATGGTGTTTTTGCTTGCTTTTCCGGCTTCCGCCATCGTCACCA